CAGCAGGAAAGGAGCTGCGTGAGGACAACAAAGATTACCAGCAGGTCTTGCTGGACGTGCGGAGATCCCTGCGCCGTTTCCCGCCAGGTGAGGGGGATTCTCCTCTTCCCACCCTGTGGGGGGGAAGGAAGGTCTGTGCCAGGGGGCTCCTCCTGGCTCAGGCTTTGTTCTGGGGTGGCAGCAAGAGACACTCCACTGCTCCAAGAGCCTGACTTTCAGAAAGCCTTTCCTGGTGAGCTTCCAGGAGCTGCTTCATGCAGTGGAGCCGTTCTGTGGCTGTTGTTCCCTTCATCTCCTCCAACGTTTCCCTTCCCCCTGTCCTGCTGCCAGCAGGCTGGTGCCATCAAACAGTCACAGCTCAGAAAGGCCAGGATCCTACGTGTCCCTTTCCTTGTGTCACCAGGGGGAGGTCAGGATAGGTGGAGTGCTTGAGCAGCGTTTATTATTCAGTTTATTTTAGACCCTGCTCTAGCTCCGGGGCACAGAAGGTGAGTTTGCCAGTGGGTAGAACAATTTCTGGTGTAAAACAGCCTCGCAGTGGGGTTCATGCACTCAATTTAAGACAGCTCTGAACCTCTAGAAGCAAAATGTTTTTGCAGTTGTTTAGTTCTGCTGGGTGCCTCGTTGTGCTATTTATAAAACATGTGATCCAGCAGCTCTGCAACTGCAGAGCAGTCGTTATTTCTGGCCAGACCCTGCTCCCCCTTCTGCCACTTTTGTTGTGCGTCAGTTGATTCCCTCTGATTCTCTGGAGTGTGGATTCTGTGTGCAGGCCTCATTCCTGCAGGCTCTGCTACCACGGGGTGTTTTTGCCCTGGAATGACAGCCTCCTGCCTATTTTTAGACACATCAGTGAAGCAGAGGAAAAGGAGAACTTTGTCATGGCAGGATCTCTTCGGGGAATTTCTGCTTGGCCTTAGGGCGTTTTCTCAGTTGACAAGGACTGCCAGGAACTGGCTGCAGCTGTGAGGGGCAGGATGTTGTTCCTGTCACATCCTGTCCCCAAACACATGTCAGTAGCAGGGGACCTGTACCAAGTTGTGGCGATGGAGGCCTCGGTTGGCACAGTTTTTGTGGAAGTGGGTCCTGGATAATTTTTTCTAGAGCTCCTGAGAAATTAAAAATGATCACCAGGTCCTCAGCAGAGCTGGGTGTGCAGGGCAGTTCTCTCTGTGCACACCTCAGCAAACCCTGCTCCTGTCCCCTCCCTGACTTCTTCATGGGTAGGGGCACTGCAGCTCTGGATATTAAGCAACCTCACAGCTGGCTTCCCCTGAGCCATCAGTTTTGGAGGGCAGGGTTAGGACTTGGGATGCTTTCCCTGCTGGGTTTTGCCCCTTGCAGCCCATCGCCTGGGGTAGATGGATGGCTCCTCTCCTTGCACATGCAGCCACGCTCATTCCCACAGCAGACACCGGTGGGTGACACAGCCCATCCCACCCCCCTGGTGCTGTCCTCACAGGGATGCCAGATGACCAGAGGGAAGGTTTGCAGGAGGTACTCATCGACATTATCCTCCACGTCCTCAAGCGCAACCCCCAGCTGCACTACTACCAGGGCTACCATGACATCGTGGTCACCTTCCTCCTGGTGGTGGGGGACAGACTGGCCACTGCTCTGGTGGAAAAGCTCTCGACACATCATCTCAGGTACTTTTTGGGCTTGGCTGGAGGAGTCACCTTCATGTCCTGGGGCTGTGGGTTCGCCTGTGCCTGCAGGGAAGCCTGGGCAGTGGGTTGGCCTGTCCGGGAGCAGGAGCCAGGAAGGCAGAGCCTTGGCTTAAGGCCGTGCCCAGAGAGGTGCTGTGAGAGAGCTGCATGACCACACGTTAGTGTGTGGCTTTGCAGGGAGCTGTGCCCTGGGGAAGGGATAATTGAAGGCTGCCAGCTCAGTTGTAACGTGTCTTGAAGCTGAAAACGCCAAGGCCTGTGCATTATTCATCCTTCTCTGGCTCTGCTGGCAGGGCCTGTGCAGCTCCTGGGGGCTGGCTCAGCACAGGGCCTCCCGCTCGCCTTGCCAGGGTCCTGGGCCCCAAGTCAAGTGTCTCTCCTGTTCGTGCACTGAAATCAGAACAAGCCTTCAGCTGGGGAGTGGTTTGGAGGGATTTTCCCTCCTCTTTCAGACAGGGAGTTGGGTTTGGGGTTCTGGAAAGGCTTTATGGTTCATCCATGCACTGCAGCAGAGTCGGAAGTGTCAGCTGATACCAGCATGGTTGCCTGGGTCCAGGTTTCTATGCAGATCAGCCCTGTGCGTCCCAGGGGGTGGGAAGGGGCTGTCCCAAAGGGACAGAACTCCTTGGGGCTGGGAGCCACCCTGCCAGCTATGCTGTTTATTGCCAGTACATTTATGTACCTCCCAGCTGCCTCCCTGGAGGGAGAGCTCACTGACATGGTTGCTTCACAACTTCTTTTAAATCTTTCCTCAGGGATTTTATGGACCCAACAATGGATAATACCAAGCACATTTTAAATTACCTGATGCCCATCATAGACCAGGTGAACCCTGAGGTGCACGACTTCATGCAGAGGTATGCAGAGCTTCCTTCCCAGGCTCTGAGCTCTGCCCTGCCAGTCTCAGTTACTGGTGGCTTCCTCAGAGTGACACAGCTGACCCAGAACTGATTGTGACAGTCCAAAGCCATGTGGGACTCTGCTTCTGAGCAGACCCAAAGCTGTGCTGCCTGTATTAAGGAGTTTTCCTTGGTGCCATCTTCACCTCAGTGATCTGCTTCCATCTTGGGAAGGCAGGGGGTTTGCAGGCAGTGTCACACAAAGGTGCCACCACCACTTCACGTGCCCAGTGTTGTTCCTGGTGTCACCTGGCTGTAGTGTATTGCTAGTTCTAGGGATCATTCCCAGATTTTGCAGTAGAGACGAAGTGTAGTCCAGGCAGATTAAAGCAGAAGCAGGAAGGTAAGTGGGAAGGTTCAGGCCAGAGTCCTTTTCTGGGCAAGCATCTCTGTTCCATTTCATGGCCAGGATGTCTTTGGGTACCAAGCTTGATTAAAAACTCACAGAGGTCTGTAAGCCTTTAGGGTGAAAAGGAACCTGAAAAGCTGACTGTGCTGCAGGACTTCAGGTGTCTTCAGGTGCCAGACAGTGATGTGGTATGTTACACATTCAGGTTCTCCTGAAAGCAAAAAATTTGGGCCTTTGCTGTAGACCCCACTGGATGTGAGACGAGTAGTGGCTGTTCTTTGCCCTGGGGTGAGTCAGAGGTGCAGCTCGTGGCTCTGGGCTGAGCTCTGCATCCTCTGGTGCCAGCTCTGTCTCCCCTCCCAGGCATGGAGGTGTGTGGCACCAGGAGCGTTCCAGTGCTGTTCCCCAGCTGCTGGCAGTGACTGGTCTAACAGCACTTTCCCTCTCTGCAGTGCGGAGGTGGGAACCATCTTTGCCCTCAGCTGGCTGATCACCTGGTTCGGGCACGTCTTGTCCGACTTCCGGCACGTCGTGCGATTATACGACTTCTTCCTGGCCTGCCACCCACTGATGCCCATCTATTTTGCTGCTGTGGTAGGTACTGGCTGGACTGGTTGGGGGATTCACTGAACCAATGTGAGGTCCTGGTGGTTTGGGGCTGCAGAGTGGGGCTGGCAAAAGGTAGGAAGGATCAGGATTGCTCAAGGCAGCCTGGGGGTGGCCAGGTCTGCAGGCTGTTGCAGCTCCCAGCCTGACCTGGTGTTTTTCTTGGCTTTGATGTGCTGGGCCCTTGCTCAGGTGCTGGGGAGCCTGTCGTGGGGCAGCCCTGCCCTCTGCATCCATCTGCTCTTTGTCCTATGGGAGGCCCAGACAAATCTCTGTTTGAGGGCAGGCCATGGGGTCAAGCCAGGCTGAGGGTCTTCCCACATCTCTGACCTGCCAGGAATGGGCTGTGCTTCCACAATGGATGGAACTACCCAGGAAGGGGCTTTCCATGGCCTCAGAGTCTTGGGAAGGGTTTGGTGTTTCTCTTTCCAGACAGGGAATTATTTTCTGCAGTGTGTCCCCTTAGGAAGGGCAGGTCTTTCAGCTGGCAGTTGAAAGTTTCCCTCTTGTGGCTCTGAAGTTGGGGCCAACAAGTGACAAGGAGTCATCCCAGCTGTCCTCAATGCTCTTGCACCTCTCTCCAGATCGTGCTGTACCGGGAGCAGGAAGTTCTGGACTGCGAGTGTGACATGGCCTCTGTCCACCACCTCCTGTCCCAGATCCCACAGGACCTTCCTTATGAGGCTCTGATCAGGAAAGCTGGGGACCTTTTTGTCCAGTTCCCACCATCTGAACTGGCCAAGGAGGCAGCTCAGCAGCAGGCTGAACAGTGAGTGTCTGTGGTGTCTACATCCCCTTTCTTGCTTTCTCATGAAGATCCCTCCTGGCAGGGGCTGGTCCCCAAGGCTGGGGACACTCCTTGACCTGTTGCTTCTCTGTTTCTCCTTTTCCAGAACTGCAGCTTCCACGTTTAAGGACTTTGAGTTGGCGTCAGTGCAGCAGAGACCAGACACTGTGTTGAGGCAGCGCTTCAGGGAGCGGCCCCGGGGGGAGGAACGGACAAAATCCATCTTGACAAAGCCCCGGACCAACCGCTTTGTCAAGTTGGCCGTGATGGGGCTGACGGTGGCGCTGGGAGCAGCTGCCCTGGCCGTGGTCAAGAGCGCCCTGGAGTGGGCACCCAAGTTTGAACTGCAGATTTTTCCCTGAAGCCAGAGGAAGGACCTTCCCTTTCACCACGTCCTTCCCTGGTGGGAAGGGACGATGTTTGAGGAGAGGACATGTCTGGGAATGACCTGTCTGAAGATTGTTCTGCTGCGTCCAGTGACGCTTTTGGCCTTTGTGACAGCAACTGATGGGAACCAGCCCAGCAGGAGGGTTCCCCAGCCCAGCAGGAGGGCTCCCCAGCCCAGCAGGAGGGTTCCCCACCCCAGCACTTGCCTCCTCTCCTCCCTGTGCTAGGGGAGCAGACGGACACCGCTGCCATCTCGGGAGGAACCGAAGGTAGGGACAAGCTGGGCTCTCCAGGCTGTGCACAGGTGACTGTGGGAGGAACAGCCCTTTGTGGGCTGTGCTGAATCGATCCCACACTCTGCTTGGGATGATGGGTGTGGAGGAGGGTGGCACAGCAGGGTTTGGGCCAGCTGCGTTGGGGGGAGGGGGCGAGGGGCTGTTAAACCCCTGAAGAATAGGGCAGCCTTCTGGCTTGGCATCCCTCACGTGCAGACTGCTGGTGGTCCCAGCCTTCCCTTTCCTGTCAGCAGCCTCTGAGTAGAGCCAGACCTTTCACAAACCCCTGCCAGGAGGTTTTCTCCAGCATGTAACTCTCCCTGGCTCCTTTTGCTTCCTCACCTTTGCAGCCTGATCCATTAAGAGGAGGGAAGGGCTGGGGACAGGAGCAGGCCCACACAGGATGTCCCATGGTCCTGTCTCAGGTCAGTGAGGTGAGGGCTGAGTGTCACTGGTCCTGCCTGAAGTCTGTGCTGTCACGTGCCAGGTTGTCACCAACACGAGTTGGTGGTGCAGTGAACATCTGTTGCAGACTTGCACAGCTCTGGAAGCAGGCTCTGGCACAGGGAGAGGCTTTTTCCACCTTGTGAAGACAGAAGTCGCTGTGGTAGGAAGTCTGTCTGAAATCTGCCCTCATGAGCTGATGGGACTTAAGCATCACCCTTTGGAATAATGCAAGTGAGGGATTTTCCTGTAAAGGCCATTCTCAAGCCCTGCATAGCTCTCGATTCCCCCCTCTTAACAGCCCCAGTGCTCCCTGCCCTCCCAGCTAAGCAGCAAATCCTTCTGGACAACTCAGTGTCCCACTGAGACAAAGCCAATAGACACTCGATGCCTCTACCTCTCCCCTGAGCTGCTCAACCTCCCGCAAGTGCCCTTACCTGTCCCCTAATGCTCCCCCCCAGCTACCCCCTTGTGCTGTGTTGTGCCCAAAGCCATCTGTGCCGTGCCCAGGGGCTGCACACCTGGAAATCAGGTGTTGGTTGAAGAGTTACGGATTTTAGGATAGAAAAGAAAACTCGTGCCCTGTGAAGCTCAGCACCCTCCTGTCCCAATCCCCAGCCTGTTGGTTCGTAATGGCCTCAGGGGAGGTTCTGGGTTGCCCTGTGGGCCCTTGGGGGGCCGTGCCTTGCTGGCCAGAGGGTGAGTGGGCAGTCAGCACCCCTGTTTCCATAAGAAGCAGGAGTTTCCTTCACCTCTGCAGGCTCAAAGCCGGAGCGTGTGAACCTGCTGTGGCAGAGGCAGGGCAGTGAGGCCTGTTCTTGGTGCCAGGGCTGTCTGTGCTGCTGGTGGGAGCCAGGGGCAGCTCCAGGGTTTCTCCTGGCATGGTAGGGGCAGAGCCTGTTTCTGGACCTTGGCATCTCTCCAGGGTGGAGGGAATTTAGCACTTTAGAAACTTACGGTGCAGGACATTGTGGTGACCTGGGGGGCTGCCGGTGGTCCTGGGACCCCTCTGTACACTCTGCCACTGCCCCTAAGGAGGGGATGGCTGGGGGCCCCCCTCCCCGGGGAAGCCCCTGGCCCCCCCTTGCTCTCTGGCTATGAAGCACTTTAGTTCTTGCGTTGTCCCCAAGGAGAGGAAGGGCCTGGGAGGAGACGGTCGCTTCGGGTGCTTCTGTTCCTCTGTACAAACACTTCTACAGACCCTTGTAAATGCAGATTTGTACAAACCCTATAACTGTAAAATAAACAGTTACTAAACACACTGCCCTCCCTCCCCTGGTGCTGGCAGGGACCGTGGCAGCCAGATCTGCTCTCATAGCACCCAGTGGCCCAACCTACCAGCCTTGCAGTCACCAGCCCCATGGGAAGAGGCACAGGAGCCAAATGGCACTTATGTGCCCTGGTTGCCACTCCCCTCCCTTCTGCCCACCATTGGTTAAATGCCAGGGTGTGCCAGGGCTTGGTGTGTGTGTGTTTGCCCAGGCTTGGTGTGTGGGTGTGTGTGTGCCAGGGCTTGGGTGTGCCAGGGCTTCCTGGGGTGTGCCCCCATCCACTGTGCAGGGGGCTGGAAATAGCCTGACCTACCCCACGCCAGGGAGATCCTGGGCATGGTGCCTGTCAGCAGAGGCTCAGCCTTCACTGCTCACCCCAGGCAGCCTCCACCTCTGCCAAGCCAGGGGGCTTCCATGTGGGATGGAAGAAGGGAACTCCGTGCCTGCCCTGGGCTGGATCCAGCCCCAGCACAGCCCCGGGAGGGCCCTGCCGCTGTGTTGGCAGGATCAGGCCCGACATCAGGCCACCAGCAGCCACCCAATGGCAGCAGTGGGGAAGGAGGGGCGGTGGGGGGAGGGGTGAGGGACCGCTGGG